GTATAAATTTTAAGTAAATTAGCGTCCTTAAATTTCGAAATATTGCAGTTTCAAGCATTTCTGGAAAGCGGTCGTAATTTTAGTCCGATTTCAATAATTTTCAACGTTTTTTTTTCTATGTGGTAAGCACAATAACCACACCAAGTTTGGTTCAAATTGCTAGAACGGTTAGCGAGATACATATATGTGATCATAAGTGGGCGGTGCCACGCCCATTTTCCAAAATTTTATCATAAGCGTATTTCTTGGTAAAAAATTGTTGCAACCATCAATTTTGAATAAATTAGCTTCAATATTTAATGATTTATCGAAGATTTTGTATTTCTCTAAATTACCGTTATATGGGATGTGGGCGTGGTTATTGTCCGATTTTAAAAAGTTTCGGCGGTTTTTTATGCTGTACCAAGGCCAACAACTGTGCCAAGTTTGGAAGAAATTGGTGCAGCGGTTACCAAGATATACACATGTAACCATAAGTGGGCGTGGCTACGCCCATTTTCCAAAAATTTATAATATTCTTATTTTTCGTCTAAAACTTATTATAAATATCAATTTTGAGTGAATAATCTCCAGTAGTTACTAAAATATCGCAGTTTTCGCATTTCTGAAAATTACCGTTATACGGGAAGTAGGCGTGGTTATTGTCCGATTTCGCCCATTTTCAATACCAACCTTCCTTGGATGAATGGAAACCTACATTCCAAATTTCGTTGAGATGTCTATATTTTTGCTCGAGTTATCGTGTACACGGACGGACGGACAGACGGACGGACAGATAGACATGGTTTAATCGACTTCTCTATTCATTCTGAGCATTTATGTATACATTTGTCTATATCTATCTTTATTCGGTTTGGCTGTTACAAACAACCGTTATGTGAACTAAATTAATATACCCTTGTGCACAAGTGCGCTCGGGTATAAAAATTAAAAAATTTAACTTTAACCATTAATATCTTCTTTATTTTTTATGTTTTTGGTGGGGTTGAAGTTCTATCGAATCGATATCACATTTATGGTTTTTGCATAGCTAGATTGTTGATATTCTAGACTTATGTGCACGGAATGACCTCGGACTATTTCTGACTAAATCCTGCAGTACGGGAACAGACTAACTGCCGGCAAGTTGGTTGCAGGATTTGATTAACAAAGACACAAACAAAATTCGGTCAAAAGCAGGATGCATTCGCATAAACTTCAAATAAAAGTGGTGTTTAAGGAGAGTTAACGAAAATTATTTGTATGGTAAACTCCGAGTTTAAGAGCAGAGTACACTCGAGTTAAAGTACAAAGTAAAGTTTCGACTTCAATAGTGATGAATAGAATAAATTCGCGGTTTAGAAAATTACCGTCACATAGAAAGTAGGTGTTATTTCAGTCCGATTTCAAAAGTTTTCAACACAAAAAAGACAAAAATATGAAATAAGGTTATTCTATATTAATACAACGATATGACCATTCAACGGAAACTACATAAATTCCTAGCCCTACCCAGGAAAATGGTTAAATTTTTTTTTCCCATTTTTTTTTTCTTTTTTCGATCACAAAAGGATACCAATTTTAAACCTTACTTCAAAATTAACCGCTATTTTTATCTTTGTTCCAAGACGCCAATTTCGAAAAAAGAAAATTCGGGATTTTCGGAACTACTTGGGAATTTCGGTATTCTCGGAACTATTTTGGGATTTCCAGGGGTACTTCGGACACTCGCATGTGTATATGCATTGTATATGTATTCTCGTAGTATGTAGGAAATAATATTTTCTAGAAGCCATTCTTATCTCTGGTATTTGAGTATTTTTAGTGTATCGTGATAGGTATGCTTTAAAAATGTTAGTATTTGACTACGCCACAATACGGCTGTCTGTAACGAAAATGAAGGAACATTCAAATCGTAAGTTTGTGGGAATGCAAATGTTACCGTTTATTTTCTGCAACTTTACATTTAATCTTCCCCTTAAAACAAGTAATTAAATTTTTTTTAAGATAAACTTTCATTAGTGGCTAAGAAAACATATTTTTTCCAAATATGAAACAAATCAGACCATAAATACGAATTTTCCAAATATCTCGACTCCTTCGCCACCTAGCGGATTAGTTCCTCTTTCATACTGCATTGTGATCGGTTGGTTAAAAATTGATTACACACAGGTGAAACTAAATAAAAGCTAGTAAAAACGCAGAAGTTATTGGAATTTCGTGTTCAAAATAATAAAAATCAGAATTTTAAAAGGCATGCAGGAATTACATTGTACTATGAAAGCCAATTCTATTATCTTTAAAAAAATTGGTGGGGCATTTTTTCACTACGTGTTTTTGGTTCCAAGATTTTTCAAATAACTTTTATTTACGATTTCCTCCCAAAGTAAGGATTTTCTTTTTGAAAACATTTCTTTTTCTATGTAAATAGAAAGATGGATTGCATTGAATGTAGAGTTCTTTAAGGTCTGTAATATCCCCTGCCCAAAAACTATTCATATAATCTTTAAAATGTCTTCTTTCAACTTAAAAGGTCTACACGAGGTATTTTCTTTAAACTTCGCTAATTTTTATTTGCTATTCTAGCGAAAATTCTAGCTAAATTAATATAAATATCTGAATATGAGTTTGCATCTACATACCTGAACGATCTTTAGGTGGCCCGTTCAGATGATTTTGTGGAACACAATATTGCTCTGAAAAGAAGAAAAAACGTTAAGAATGAAGTTTAAGAAGATAAAAATACGTACATTTATTACATGAAATAGTGAAAAATAGCTTTTTACTAGTAGTTTGTGGTATCACAAAGGACAATCTTACATTGTCTAAGTGAGCTCCGGTTACACGGGGCTGCCACCTTACCTAACCTAACAACCAAACGAATACTTTGTGGAATTCATGTCGACAGAAGATGTATTTATTTTTCAGTAAAATCGGGTCCGCCAAGCGAAATCTAATAACTAGTTCAGGTTCGGTTTCATTTCGATTATATAGCTCCCCGCCCAAATGTAGCATCTCCGATAAAAAATGTTAATAACTTGGGTTTGAATTTTAAACTTAAAAAAATGCAAAATAAGTTTTGAAAAAAAGGCAGAAGACAACATTATTTTTTAATTTTGTTATGTACATACTTTATGTACATGTTTGTCCAATTAAATATATAAAAAAATAATACATACAGTGGTCAAAATATTATAGCCGAACCACTTTCTGCCAAGTTTTAACGAATTATTTTTGTTGTTATTTAATTTTGTTTTTTTGTTTTTTTCTTTAATAAAAACCGTTTAAATCCAAGTATCCAACTTTGCGCTATATTAAAAAAAAAATCAACAAACTTTCGTACAAATTTCGGGCTTTTATAAAATGCTAAAAAAAAATCCGTAATTTTTAGCCATTTGAAACGTGTACTTTATTCTACTAGAATTCAATGGGCTACAAAACTGCATACTCAGAATCTAATTAAAACCTCGAAATTTTTACGAAAATACGTTGAGTTTTTTTTTTAATTGCATAAATTTTTAAGGCAGTGTCACTCGATTGGTACATTTGTACAGATTTGTGCATTCTTATATTGGGACAATATTTTTTTATCTAGTCAAAATCTTGGACAATACAGCAATCGCACCAAATTTTGGCAAATTCCCAATCGTGTGACACTGCCTTTAAACTTGTACTATTTATACGGATGTTGGTAAAGAATGAATTATAAAAAACTAACCAAAACTAAATAACAACAAAAATAATTTAAAACTTGTCAAAATTGTGTGCGGCTATATTTTTGCGACTACTGTACATAAGTTTACTTTTGACTTACAAACAAAATATGGGCAGGAATTTCAAAATTTCAACCGTTTGTGTGAAATATTTTATTTTTAACAGTATTTTTCAGAACTCCTCTGCCTCCCGAAAAAATTTCCTGGCTACGGCCCTGATAGCAGGTAATTCAATGGCAGAAAATTAGCGTGGTAAAACAAAGCACGCTAAACCTGAGCACGCAAACCTAGATCGAGATCGGGGAAAAGGCCCTTCTTGTTCTCTAATGGTAGTATTTTTTAGTTCTCCGAAAAGTATACTGAAGTGTTTTATAATCCTTTAGATTCCTTCTCAATCCAAAATAAAACAGAAGCCATAGACTATAGTTTCCATTTTAGCTCAAAACTCGTCTGCAATAACAAACGGGTTCATTGGGCCTCACGCATAAAAAAAATAAGCTCAGACTCAGCTTTAGCACTGATGAAGTGAGCTCAAACTCAAGAATTTGTAATGAAAATCGACTCGGATAGCCCAATTCTTTATCGGTGACTAAATTTTTTTTACTAACAAATTTAAACTTTTTCATATATTTCACCGTAAAAACACCGTGAGAAGAATTTGTCACTGATACAGCATGGAGCAGTAATCCTCTGCTACTGACGTGACCGAAATTACCCTATTATACTGACGTGTAGTCTTTCAGACACCGAATTTCCAGACCTAATATATACATATATTAGATATTTATTAATAAACTTTTTTTTTTAATTTAAACTGAAAATTCTATCAATTTTTTAAATACTCATTAATGAAATAGTCATATAAATAAACTATGTATTGTAATTGGATATTTATTTGGCTTAGGAGCGCTTTTGAATATTTCGCATTAAAATTGACTTTAACTCATATGGATAAAAAAAATTGACTCAACATGGCCCCATAAACTTAGCAGCTAAATAAGTGAGCGTCTTAAGTGAAAGAAGGAAACCTATATTTGACAGTAAATATTAATTACCCAGCTTCACTAATTACTAACTTTGATTTTTTAATTGGCATAGAAACAATCATGTTTTATTTAATATGCTTTTGGCGAGTTTGACACCAAGGTTACCTACGGTTAGGACAAACAAAGTTCCCGTTAAGAAGCCAGGCCACTTCCACTTATTCACTGGTTCATGCATATCTAACTATCTTTACACAATTAAACAAAAATACTAACATTTTAATGTATTATTTATTCATGCCACATTTAATGTAACAACAAAACTCTAATGTTCCTTTTTTTCCAATTTACTTTTAGATCTACTGTTTTCTTCGCCATCAGCTTGCCGTTGCCGTTCGTCTGCTTCAAGCTTTCCGATCACCTCAGACATATCCTCCATTTCATCCTCCTCCAGCGCACGAAAAACTCTAACAGCCACCACTTTATTGGCCACTAAAGTCTCTATCATTTTAGTGTGGTGAAATTCACGTGTGATCTTGGCGGCCACAATGCCCTTTTGCTCTTGCACCAATGTATTATCGAACATATGCAATACATTGCTTACTTTACGCAAATCATACGTTTCTTCATCAAATGCTTTGTCCAATTTGAAAGTTAAAATCGTCGGCTCCTGTTCCACATTTGCCAGTGTAATCAAATTGTGCGTACTTTCGATTTTGTGCAGCAAAATAATCGGTTGCTGTGAATTGCCCATTTTCCTTTGGACCAAACCCATGCCGAGCTCCTTTAGATAAGCATCGTAGTTATCGCTACTCACGAGCTTGTACTGCTTGCCCTCCCAACAATTTACTTTCTTTATCATTTTTTTTTTTTTATATACGGAAAATTTCCAAAATGTTACAGAATTTGTATGTAAATATTTACAAATGATTTTTGGGATAATGACTTTTTAATGCCATGATCATAGCATGATCAAAATAATTTTGTTTGAAAGCAACAGATGAATTCAGTGTTCCGTAAACGAAAACATTACTAATTGTAATCGTAAATACATGGGTACATATGTATGTACATAATATGTATTATAGAAGTATTTACAAGGCAACAATTGAAGATTAACATCTTTCATCGTTTAATCTGTTCAAAAAATACCTGGATGAAAAGTTTGGGAAGAATGTTCCGAAATTATGAACAAAAAACTCCGTTACTTTTTCCAGTTCTCCCGATAGCACCAAGGACTATTCCTAGAAAGAACTCAAGGCTTATTAAAAACCATCATATTAAAATTGGTTTGAAGATTTGCAAAACATTGGAATTTTAATAACTAAAGTGCTAAAAAAAGAAGTAATTTTTAGCAAAAAAAAAACGACTTAAAAAAATATATATATCTATAGATAGTTCATGATCCGATGATCGGATCTAAACCAGATTAGTATGGGACCACCTCTCCGATGCAAAAATAATTGTCGAAATCGGTTGACGTGGTCCAAAGTTGTGCGGTAACATACATAAAAAAAAATATTCCGACGAACTGATGACCTCCTCCTTTTTTGGAAGTCGGTTAAAAATGAAATCTTTGAACGTTGTGGTTTAATTAATAAATTCCTAGCACTTTTCTAAACGATGGCAACGATGCGCCTAAAAGATGCAGCGATTTCTTTCTCAAGTTACATACCTGATGACAGTACGAATGGAAATTGTAATAACGAGGTTTTAGTTTTTTAAACTATAATTTTATTTATTACAAGCTTTTAGTTTGTTTCGCCTGTGTGTAATGAAATATCTTGAAGTAAATTTTTAACCAACTTGCCGATAAGCTAGATAATTGAATATTCAAACTTAGCAATGCAATTTTAAACTACAATTCATTCGCTAGGTGGCGCAGGAGTCGAGATATTACTTCAAAGGAAAGAAGTAACTCCAGCAAAAATTTAGCCGTTTGGTTGTGCGGATGTTAGTTTTTCTCTATTTAATTAATCACAAGGGCGGAAAAATAGGCAAAAAAAAAATTAGTTTTAAGCGTTTAGATAAGCACTAAAACATGGGTAAATATGGTTACAAATAGGCTTGAAAAATGAAAAAAATACGAAGGACGTAAAGTCCCTATGCGTGGAAGAAGTGAAACTAAGTCCTATCTTAACCTTAATTTTAAACGTAGCCTTAATCTTAATCGATATATTTTCTTTTATCTTTACATTCATCTTTCCAGGTAGCTTATCTTTAAATTTATATTATCTTTATCCTAAACTTCATCATTATATTTATTTTTACCCTCATCTTAATCTATATCTTTATTTTACTTTAATCTCTCTCTATCTCTATCCCTATCTCTGTCTCTATCTCAATTTCTATCTCTATCTCTATCTCTATCTCTATCTCTATCTCTATCTCTAT